AAGGATTAATCTTTCACCCATTATATATGTGTGCGTGCCATGATGCAGACGAAGTGTTGAAATTATCAATGTTTGAGGAACATATTAAGTTGTCAAGTGTCACCTTTTTTTGTGTGACAATTCTGTGGTAGGAAAAGAGACCACTGCAAAGAGGCCGTGAGCATGACTCAAAGTAAATTAGACAGTGTCAGTAACACATCTTTAGAAGAATAGGTTGAGTGGTTCAATGAGAATTTGACAGAGTATTGATAATAGTTTTATTGCTTTCAATAATCTTAGTAATGCATGTATAAATATGGGTGAAGAGTGATCCACTCTCATCTCCTTAACTATAATGCATGGTTTGCATGTGAGTCTGCAAAGGATTTTGAATTTTTTTCTATTTTTACATACAAATATACAAGAACAATGAGTTCAAATACAGAAAACTTTTGCTTTTTAATTTGTCTTGTTATTAAACAAATTTCTGTAAATGTATTGGATGTTATGTGACTAGTAGTGGATAACTGAAGTGGATTAAAAAGGAAACCAGAATTTTACAAGTTTTCACATGTGTAACTCTTAAATGTAAGAGCTTTCTACAGAGGTACAGCCTGCTCTCTGTCCCAGTGAGACTTTGCCTCCAGTTGAACAGTGAACACAGAGGTATTTATTTATACTCATTCAGACACCCCCAATTCTTCTCCCATGATTCTAACAGCATTGAGCTTCTTGCTGTTTCTTCTGGGATCTACAATAATATTCTTGCTTTTTCCACACTCAGAATCAGATCATTGCACTGTGCTGCAAAGGGGATTACTAGCTGGGAAGAAGCTCCAATGAGGCATTTGACGAGGAATTTGACGAACCATTAGAATCCCCTAACGACCATTAACCTCCTTGACCAATCCAGTGGGAGGGATTAAACCCACCTTTTGTCCCCCATAAATCTTTGTTCCACCTACAGTTTATTAATCTCAGTGCTCCCCACCACCAGTTAGAACTGGAGAAGCCTCTTGGAAGAGAGGTGAAACGTCTTTTACTAGCTCCATTTACTCAGCTTTTTGTCCATCTTTGATGCATCCAACGATGACAAAGGCGTCCTTCCCCTGTGATGCTCCTTTCTACCGGATTCGACACTTAACCCTTCAGTCTAACAAAGTGCGATCCATTTTTCAGGTAGTCTGTGATCCGGGCAATCGCTGTGGCCTCCGACCGAGATTTCTGGAGATTCTGATAAAGCAAATCAGACTGAATCGTGTGAAATGCCCTGGGGAAAGAACATGATCCTCATTGTGCTGTTGGCCTTGTCTTAACGACAGTGGGGTTGTTGAACCAGGTTTCCGATGACATCTTCAACTCCACAGCGATAAGCAAACTACAGGGGATCCTGATGATGTGGGATGTCGGAACAACAGGTGTTTAGTCACTCGGATTAGTTTTCTTTTGTACTGGAACATGCTTTAACATAACTGGAACTGTCTTCTTTGTCGTATTAAGGTGAAAGAAGTGAGACAAACACTTCCTCTGCCGTTTGTGGAACAGCAAAGGTGGCATAGAGGTGGTGGTGTCTGATTGTGGGTGGGAGTGTTAGGCTGTGACCACTGCCTGTGACTCAGGGAGCTGCTTGAATGTAAAGCCCCATCCACTCCCTTTTCCTGTGTTGGCCTATAAATGTATCATCTCCACTCTGAGCCACACATGGAGAGGACACTGGTTATAGTTAACAATGAAGACGTTCTCATTCTTCTTTCTCTGCATCATCTTCATGGCAGGTTCTGGTGAGGCTTCATCACAAATCTTCTTTGCATGATAAACATTTGTGAAAATATCATTTGTGAAAAATCGATGTTTTCATTAATTATTCTGTTTAAAATCTTTTTACAGTCTGGGTGGTCCAGGGAAGAGGTCTAGAGGTCAGGATTGATGATACGGAGCTGGAAGAACCTGTTCTAGAGCAACAAGGGGTAAGAATAAAGAAAGATTATACTTCAAAGATTCGGAAAAATTATTTTAACTTAAGGTGAGAAAAATATTTAACAGTTAGAAGTTATATGAAAATAAAAAATTTTATCAGTAAAACTACTTGCATGTTTTTTTTATTATGTGTATTATAGCTTTGTTATACAAGTTTGATCATAATTTATTTAAAAAAAATTATGATTTATTCCTATGTCATAACTGAAATCATCCACGATGAATGGATGTTTAAAGTCGCCAAGGGTAATTGTGATTACTGAGATACTAATAATAATTACTAAACTAAAACCAAAATGAAGAGAAATGTTTTGAAACTCAAATCTGCACTTAGCTAAAGATCTTAAACTAAATAGCTTTGGCAGAAAAGATTGTGGTGTTCCAGGACCTTCTAAGCTAATTTTCTAACGGGAATTGTTAAGATGAAGTCTTTTCCTTGAGCAGGGAAAAAAATATGATGAACTAAAAAAAAAAAAAAAAAAAAACATGGAGGTTGTGACTTTTGCTTAGAAAATCCTCCGTGTATTTTCTGTACCTGGATTGCAAAACAGCTATAATCCATGTCTGGAAATTAGTGTTGGAAATCTACTGGTTGTCCATCCATTTTGATTTCAAAGGTGGAGTTCATTTTCTTCTCTGGAGGAAAGGTTAGAAGAGATTATAAATTAACTTGCCTGGAAGTTGCAAGTTTTTCTGGTGTTATTCGTTTAGAGAGGATTGATGCTAATGAGCTGGGAGAACCCTTTGCAGAGCCACAAGGCATAAACACAAAAAATAGGTCTCAAAGATTCTGGCAGTTCTTTTATGGCAAGGCATGAAACCTATTATTAAAAATAATAATATTTTTATAATAAAAATGATTGAAGTTCTAGATATAATGTTATTGTTTTTTCCATGTATAAAATGTCAATAATCACCATATAAAAAATAAGGCAAGAAAAGTGGTAACTACCTGGTACAGTGCAAAGAGTTGCTAAAATAAAAAAAGACTTAATTTTTGAAAGACTGAGACGTATTCAGTTTTACACTGAACATTAAATTCTGTTCCTGTTTAGCAATGTGGTGCATTGAAGATATCCTTCCATTTAATTAACCACTACTCTGGTTTAAATCCAGTTAAAAATGTAAGAATAATTTTTTCTGAGGTGAAGATTTAACTTTTTTTATTTTCTTACTTGTTTTTAGATTCCTGGTCTTTGCTGGGCATGCAAATGGGCTTTGAACAAGCTGAAAAAAAGCCTTTCACAAAATGCCACTGCAGAGGTAAAAGTCATAAGATGACTGCATAGAACAACATCTCATCTGGGCCATGTGAAGATAAAACTCTCCTTTCGTTTGTGTTTGTGCAGGCCATTAAGGCAAAACTGAAAGCTGTCTGCAAGGGGGCGGGATTTTTAAAATCAAAGTGCAACAAGTTTGTGGAGAAACAGCTGGGGGTTCTGGTTGAGGAGCTCACAACCACCGATGATGTGAAAACAATTTGCATCAACACAGGAGCGTGCAAGTAAGTCACATTAGATTAGCTTGGAAGGAGTATTATGAGAGCTATATTTTGATTTCCCTATTTTGTTTATTCCTTTTTCTTTTTTAGGTCAAAGGAACCGCTGGACCTGATCTTCTTCACAAACAGAGAACCCCAGCGTATCAAGATCAGTGAACTCCCTTAACCCAATATGCAACGATGTAAACCAGCAACATAAAAGAAGCTTTATTTTTGCAGGACTAATCCCATGATAAAAGCTTATGATAAATGGTAAAGTCAGGACAAAACACCTCTTCCAGAATTAAAAAAAATTACTTTTCACTTCTGGACATCCAAACATTTTCCAGTATTTATATTCTGCAATGAGAGTTAAAGTAAATCTAACCCTCTTTAGTAAATTGCTTTAATCCGATGGAGGTGCTGCTCAGAAACACACAAAATTAACTTTTTTTTAATTTTGCTTCCTTTCAGGCTTGTGGATGTATAGCCTATGGTTTCCATTGCCCATGTGTTCGTTTCTCACTGTGGCCTCACAAAGCGGTTAACTTGTTGCAACCACATACTGCCCTTGCAGATGGTTGAAAATGAGTTTTGTGTGCAGTTCAAAGCTGCGTGTGTGGCTGTGCTGTGTCAGCTGCGATAGTTTCATACATGCAAAGAGCAAATAATGAACCTTTCTGTGTTGTTTTTCTTTCCTTTTTGCAAGCCATCTTTGTTTTGTATTTCATGTCCATACTGTGGACAGCAGTTAATGTTGTTTTTTTGTCTTCAATAAACTTGGCAGAACAATTTCTTTGGTTTGACATCATTTTAAACAGTCTTTTACTATGGAAGAAAAACAGTCTCATTGGAATCTACCCTTTTTTTTAACACCACATTTTAAACACTGAATTTTTTTAACACCGAATTTTTTTAGACATTGAATTCCTTACACTACATTTTTATCCGGTAAAAATTCACCAGAAAAAATACAGCTGCGAAAAAATTCAGCTGCAAAAACATTAAGCTGCAAAAATTCAGCTGCAAAAAAAATCAGCTGCAAAAAATTCTGCTGCCAAAATTCAGCAGAAAATCTTGCAAGTAAATCTTGACCTCAGAGGTCAAGGTTTAGGTTAATTTTTCATTTTTGTGTGGAAAAATGACCCAGCAATTAATAATGGTCTATAAAAAAAAACAAAGAAGAAAAAAAAAAAAACTCTGATGTTTCCTTTTAACTGCAATGACGGAGAGAAGAAGGTAAAAAAGATCTGTGAGTGTGTGAGAGGGTTTGGGTAGTCTGTGGTCATTACAACCACTGTCTGTAACATTTAGAGAGTTTCTAGCATGCCCAGCCATGTCTATATAACTCCACCTTGGTTGGGTTACAGATATTTCATCTATACTCATGCAGTAGATACAGCTGACTGTTGGCCATGGAGAACTGGTCCCTCTTCCTCCTCTGCTTCTCGTTGGGTTGTTCTGGTGAGGCTTAAACGCACCGTTTTTAATATAATTAACATTATTTGTTAAAATAACTACAGGACATTTTAGCATTAGGTTTTCATTAATCATCCTGCGTAACTGTTTTAGTCTGAATGGTCCAGGGAAGTCGTCTAGACGACAGGATCGATGAAGATGATCTGGGAGAACCCTGTGCAGAGAAACAAGGGGTGAGGATAAAACATTTTTTATTTCAGATTTTCTGGTATTTATATCAAAGCAAAGCCATAATGAAAAATAGCAAAATGCGGACATTATTATTTTTGAGTACTTTACATCGAGTATTAAATTGTCACCTTTGAGGTGGAATAAATTTAATGATGAACTTACAAATGCACTTACTGTTAGGATTGTCCAATTAATCGTTTTAGCTTTCGGGGCTCTGCTGGGCATGCAAGCTGGTAATGAAGAAGTTGAAAAGGATCCTCGGACCAAATGCAACTGAAGAGGTATGAAGTATCAGGTGTCTGCAACAGCACCCCAAATGAGCTATGTGAAGAGAAATCTCCCATGACTTTGTTTTGTTTGTGCAGAGAATCACGACAAAGCTGAACGTTATCTGCAATGAGCTGGGATTGCTAAAATCAAGGTGCCACAGATTTGTTGAAAAACATTTTAGTGTCCTAGTTAAAGAACTGACAACCAATGACGACGTGAAGACAGTTTGCATCAAAATACGAGCATGCCGGTAGGTCATCATAGATTAGCTTTAATCTATGGGGGGAATTGTTGGAGTTCAGTTTTTTCATGAAAGCCCTCAATTTCCCGTTTTTTTGTATTTGTATGTTTCTTTTTATAGATTTTTTTTTTTTTTTTTAGGTCAATCTAAAAATAATCTCAGCATATCAAGATCAGTGATCTCACTTGAAATCCCATGGAAAGATGAAAGCCAGTAGAATAACTGCAGCTTTTATTTGAAGGTCTAACTCTGTTAGCAACTGCACACAAGTTAAAAGCATATATGAAAAGCTTTTTAGCTTCCTTTTCTTCAAGCGGCTTCAGGCTTCATTTCATTTCTATATTGTTCTTCAATAAATAAACATGGCAGACCAATCACTTTGGCTTGACATCATTGTGAGATATTTTTATGAAATCCCAGATTTTCAAGTTCTGGTTGTGTTATGGTTCTTTGAGTTTTGACCTTTCAGTTATCTATGTTATTCTGTTTTGTTGATCTTTAGTTTATTTTTCATTTTGTGTTATAGTTAAGCAGTCTTTATTTACTCCATGTCGCCCCCTTGTGTCCATCTTCTTTTCCCTTGCTTCCTTCTAGTCACTTCTATCCATACCTGCTCCATATTAGCTGATTACCCCAGTCTTTGTTCTGTCGCCCATATATACTCTCCCTGTGCAGTTCTTTAGTGCTGGTTTCTTGGCTCCCATGTGTGTTTTCTTCTGACCTCTCCTGGCTTTTTTTGGTTTAATTCTTAGATTATGTTTCTGTTTTCTTTTTAAATTAATTAAACCTGCAACACCTCATCTCTGTATTTGGGTCCTCAACCAACCTCCACCCCATTTAACAGATTGCCTTTCTTTGTGCAACCCCCCCACTTGAAAGGGATGGCCTCTACATGGAAGTTTCAAATAGATTTCCCTCAATAAAGTGTTTAGATTTCTTAATTTGCTTTTTTTAGGTATCCTGAATGATTCATTTAGATGCAGTTTGTTAAATAGGATAAAAACCTCAAGAGAGAGAGAAAAAAATTCAAATGCAACCATTACTTTGACTATTAAACTGACGAAATATACAATCGTTATCACGGTCAAGAAAACATATTGCTTACCCTTAAGATAAAATAAATCCCCTAAATATTTTAGTTACTTTCATAATAAATTCAGAAAACCAGTATCATTTTGAATAAAATAAAAAATCTAAAAAAAGCTTTTGGAGCCAAAGCATTTTAGGACAAAATGTAGTAGTCAGAGGAAATTAAAGCTTAAAAACACATTTTTTCCATATATTTTAGCTCAAAAATTCAACTTAAAGTTTATATATTTAGCCAAATGTATTTATATAAACCAATATATGCATTAACACATCAACTTATTCTTTTTAAGTTGCCTTAATCCAACAATTCATGGAAAAAAAGCAAAATGTTCAATATATATAGAGTCTTAATTAGGCTCATATCTTTTCAGAATGATTTGACATCCATCAGGTCACAATGAAAAGTAGAAATTCCTTTACGGAAATCTGTCAGTGTAGTAGCAAGTTTTTCTTCGCACACATCAGCTGAATCCCTAACCACCCTCTGAGCACTAACCCTTAACTATCAAGTGCCACTCGCATTAAAGTCACACTCACAGTTATGGAAGGCGCCTTCCCTCCAATGGAACGTGCTTGTTCCTATGGCAACACATATAATTTTCTTAAAAATAATGTATCAAGACAGTACTTTTTCCTTGCCTTTGGTCTTTTCCACTCATTGGCAGGGAGGAGGGACATCTTCTTCAGCATTCGACTATTAAGCAATTGTTTTATTTATGTTTTCCCTCCAACTGCTGCTATTACAAAAAGAACACCCACTAGCACCAACTCAAATTAAAGCCGCAAGCAGCATTGCAGCTCAGCTTCGCTCGGCCTAATGCAAACGTGGGAACCAAGCAACGGCCGCCTCCTTGCTCCTTCCCAGCAGGTAAAACAAGTTCCGCACTTCACATGAAAAAAAACAAGAATATATACTTGTGATGTACACACACTGAAAAAAAAATATGATCAAATTCAAAGTGTTCAGTCCTGTTTTGTTTTTGTTTTTTTCCCCCCAGTTTTTTTGTTTTTCCAGAGTTAATTTAGGAACACAGAATCAAAGTGTTCTAAGGAGATTGGAAATTTAAAGAATCCTATTGCATTTCTTACTCCATTTGTGCATTTGTTGAGAAAGAGTCAAGGGACACGGAATAAACAAAAACACAACAAAGGGGAGGAAAAAGACCTATTGAAAAAAATATAAAAAAAAACTAAATCTATCTATATAATAAACTTTTTTTTTTCCAACACAAAGACATCAAATATGAAGCTTCATCTGAACAAAAATAAACCAGTTATATTCAAAATTAATTCTATAATCTTCATACTGCTGGTGTTGATGCGGACAGAACTGTTGCTCCATGTTGTTCTGAGAAGTCCACTTTCTTATGTTTTGAGCACTGTGTTTCTTTGTCATCTTCTCTTGCTATGGCCAGTAGGGGACCCATTTGACCTCTTAGTGGAGCAATCCATCAGGGTGATGGTCGATTTAAGTGTGTTCCAGCTAATATTTCTCAGACATGCAGTTTCTTACCACTAAGCAACATGGAAGGTTGCTTACCACCTGTAAAATTAAAGCGTAAACTAACATTTAAAGGCTTTTATGATTATCAGTTTGTTGATACAATGCATGTTCAAGAAACTCTTTAATACCTCAAACATTGCAACTTGCATTACGAAGATGTACAGTTCAATAAATCTTGGATAAATGAGTTTCCCCATGAGGAAAGTGAGCCTGTTAATGAGGAAGTGTTTGCCAAGAAAAAGAAAGTACTACTGAAATGGAAGATGGTAGAGGATGAGTTACTGCATGATAGACAACCACATTGTATGTTTCAAGACCCTTGCCTTATGCCAGTAGATATTGGTCAGGAAGCACTGGATCAATATTTTGATAATGTATTAAATCTTGCTCCAGATAAGTGTGAGCTGTTGCGTTGGAAACCTGTTACTGCAACTAGGATGTCTGATTTCTGTTTTTATGTTTTCCTAAAAGAAGTTCTTATGTCCTCTGCAAATCCCGTTGTTAAGATTGTGGATTACTGTTATCGTGTTGAGTTTCAGCAGCGCGGCAGTCCCCATTGCCTGTTTTGGATCGTGTCACTGATGAAGAGGTCATTGCGTTTATAGATAAGTATGAGGTAGTTTCATCTGTTCAGCAACATTCAAAACGACATTCAAACACTTGGAAAAAGAAAAATACTGTCTGTCGTTTCAATTTTCACCGACCTGCATTCAACAGATCATTTATTTGTGGAGGAGAAAATGATCTGGATCCTGTTAAAAAATCAGTGTAACAGACACAGCGTTAAAGTGTGTTCAACTAAGAAAAAGCCAGAAGAGTTAATGAAAGTGCTATATTGACTAAAGTGAAAATTGCTTTGTCAGATGAGAGATTTCCATATAGTTCAGTGGAAGACATGTTTGGAGGCAGGGATGGGCAGTATTTGTAATACAAGTATTTGAAATACGTATTTCAAATACAAAATACTATTTTGTAATTTGTAGTTTGAGATATCAGCGCAAGGCTGATGAAAATCAAGATTAGAATTATTTTAATAATGTTTATAACTTTGTTAGTTTATTAGTATTGTTTGTCTATAAAAAACCTGCTGCAACAAGGCAAGGCAAGGCAAGGCAAGGCAAGGCAAGGCAAATGTATTTGTACAGCACAATTCAGTACAAAGACAATGCAAAGTGCTTTACATTATTAAAATATCGGAAAATAAAACTGAATCAAAGCAAGTAGGAAAAAATCAAATAAAAAATGCAGAAACAAAAAAGAATATTAAAAACAGCTGGACTAAAGAAAATAAAAAAGTTGAACTAATGATGTTTCAGTTGAACTGTTTAACTAGAGCAGTCGAAGGCAATCCTAAACAAATGTGTTTTTAGTCTTGATTTAAAGGAACTCAGGCTTTCCGCACTTTTACAGTTTTCTGGAAGTTTGTTCCAGATAAGTGGAGCATAGGAACTAAATGCTGCTTCTCCATGTTTAGTTCTGGTTCTAGGTATGCAGAGCAGGCTGGAGCCAGAAAACCTGAGTGGTCTGGAGGGTTGATACACTGATAGCAAGTCTGTGATGTATTTAGGTGCTAAGCCATTCAGAGATTTATAGACTAACAGAAGTATTTTAAAGCCTATTCTCTGAGATACAGGGAGCCAGTGGAAGGACTTTAAAACTGGGGTGATGTGCTCTACTTTCTTAGTCTTAGTGAGGACACGGGCAGCAGCGTTCTGGATCAGCTGCAGCTGTCTGATCCACTTTTTAGGCAGACCTGTGAAAACACCGTTGCAGTAATCAATTAGACTAAAAATAAACGCATGGATTAGTTTTTCCAGAGCATGCTGAGATATTAGTCCTTTAATCCTGGAAATGTTCTTCAGGTGATAGAAAGCCGACCTTGTAATTGTCTTTAAATGCTTTTGGAGGTTCAAGTCTGAATCCAGCACTACACCTAGATTTCGGGCCTGATCAGTGGTTACTAGCTGAAGCGACTGAAGCTGTGTGCTAACTTTAGATCTCTCCTCTATTGGTTCAAAGATTATTACTTCAGTTTTGTTTTTATTCAGTTGAAGAAAATTATGGCACATCCAGGCATTAATTTCTTCTAAGCATTTCCTCAGTGCTTGAATTGGTTTATAATCACCTGGTGACATGGTGATGTAAAGCTGTGTGTCGTCTGCATAGTTATGGTAGCTGATGTTGTTGTATTTTATTAACTGAGCGAGAGGGAGCATGTAGATATTGAATAGGACCCAGGATGGACCCTTGGGGAACCCCACATGTGATTTTTGTCATCTCTGATGTAAAGTTGCCTACTGATACAAAAAAAGTCCCTGTCCTTTAAATAGGATTAACATACATGATCAAATCCTTCCAACTATTTGGATTCCACTTTACAAAATGCCAAAATGTTTGTTTTTACTAAATGTTTCCTGGTGACCAATGGTCTGGACCAGGAAATTACAGGTGCTGGTCATAAAATTAGAATATCATGAAAAAGTAGATTGATTTCAGTAATTCCATTTAAAAAGTGAAACTTGTATATTATATTCATACATTACATACAAACTCATATATTTCAGATGTTTATTTTGTTTAATTTTGATGATTACAAATGACAACAAATGAAAATCTCAAATTCATCATATCAGAAAATTAGAATATTGTGAAAAGGTTCAAAATTGATGGCCCCTGGTGCCACACTCTAATCAGCTAATTAACTCAAACCACCTGCAAAAGCCTTTAAATGGTCTTTCAGTCTAGTTCTATAGGCTACACAATCATGGGGAAGACTGCTGACTTGACAGTTGTCCAAAAGACGACCATCGACACCTTGCACAAGGAGGGCAAGACACAAAAGGTCATCGCTAAAGAGGCTGGCTGTTCACAGAGCTCAGTGTCCAAGCACATTAATAGAGAGGCGAAGGGAAGGAAAAGATGTGGTCGAAAAAAGTGTACAAGAAAGAGAGATAACCACACCCTGGAGAGGATTGTGAAACAAAACCCATTCAAAAATGTGGGGGAGATTCACAAAGAGTGGACTGCAGCTGGAGTGAGTGCTTCAAGAACCACCACACACAGACGTATGAAAGACATGGGTTTCTGCTGTCGCATTCCTTGTGTCAAGCCACTCTTGAACCACAGACAGCGTCAGAAGCGTCTTGCCTGGGCTAAAGAGAAACAGGACTGGACTGCTGGTGAGTGGTCCAAAGTCATGTTCTCTGATGAAAGTAAATTTTGCATTTCCTTTGGAAATCAAGGTCCCAGAGTCTGGAGGAAAAGAAGAGAGGCACTTCATCCACGTTGCTTGAAGTCCAGTGTAAAGTTTCCACAGTCAGTGATGGTTTGGGGTGCCATGTCATCTGCTGGTGTTGGTCCATTGTGTTTTCTGAGGTCCAGGGTCAACGCAGCCACATACCAGGAAGTTTTAGAGCACTTCATGCTTCCTGCAGCTGACCAACTTTTTGGAGATGCAGATTTCATTTTCCAACAGGACTTGGCACCTGCACACAGTGCCAAAGCTACCAGTACCTGGTTGAAGGACCATGGTATCCCTGTTCTTAATTGGCCAGCAAACTCTCCTGACCTTAACCCCATAGAAAATCTATGGGGTATTGTGAAGAAGAAGATGCAATACACCAGACCCAACAATTCAGAAGAGCTAAAAGCCACTATTAGAGCAACCTGGGCTATCATAACACCTGAGCAGTGCCACAGACTGATCGACTCCATGCCACGCCGCATTGCTGCAGTAATACAGGCCAAAGGAGGCCCAACTAAATACTGAGTGCTGTACATGCTCATACTTTTCATGTTCATACTTTTCAGTTGGCCAACATTTCTATAAATCCTTTGTTTTTATTGGTCTTCAGTAATATTCTAATTTTCTGATATGATGAATTTGAGATTTTCATTTGTTGTCATTTGTAATCATCAAAATTAAACAAAATAAACATCTGAAATATATGAGTTTGTATGTAATGTATGAATATAATATACAAGTTTCACTTTTTAAATGGAATTACTGAAATCAATCTACTTTTTCATGATATTCTAATTTTATGACCAGCACCTGTAAGCTGTAGTTTAATAAACCCCGATCCAGACTGGGTTGCCCACAACCAAAATAAGGAAATTTCAAAAAACCGTAAGGAATTAAATTGTACAATTTACTTACGAATAAATAAGTGTCATTTAAAGTAGAATCTCTGTTCAAAAACAGTTACATTATACCTTCATCTGTTATTTTTGTTGTCTTTCCAAAAATTACTGCATGAAGAGGACTATCGACTTGGTTCTTATTCAAGCTACTCAAGTTTTATAAATGACCATAACTGTGACTGAAACAAAGCTGTTAAAAACAATCTACAACAAAACATCTTCTATTTTTTACTTTGTATGATCTACCAAGCCTATGCTGTCAATTTTTTGAGAAGCTGCGAAAGTTCCTATTGAATTCAATATTAATATTTCTGTCATGTTTTTTTCTCCTTTCATTTTAAACATAGATTCCTTAAATTAGAGACCAAATAACTAATCATCCTTTATCTAAAGCTATGAAAAAACTGCTATCAAACTATGAAACTCTTAACTCCTTAATGATATTTTTGAAGTTATAATCTAATTTTAGAGCTCATCATACACTGCAAAAACGATCTAGAAATAAGTAAAAATCTCTTAAATTAAGTGTATTCACCCTTAATTTGAGTAGTTAAATGAGATAGTTTGCCAATGGAATGAGTAATTTTATTGTTAAAATAAGATAATTAGATAATATGCACTTGAAATAAGACAATGCAATTGTGTTTTCTTATTTTAAATGTAAATTGTCTTGTTCCATTGGCAAAATGTCTCTTTTACCTCCTCAATCCAATAACAAACGCATTTATTTTGAGAAAAAAATGACATATAGATTTAGATTTTTTGCAGTGTAGCATTGAAACAGCTCTGGTGAAAGTCACTAATGATATTTTCATGACATCAAATAATAGACGTGTATCTGTACCTGTCCTGTTAGATCTCAGTGCATTTGATACATCATAACATTCATTAACAAAGGCTTGAACTTTCTGTAGGAATGGAGAGAACTGCTCAAGGCTGATTGAAGTGTGATTTTTCTGATAGCCAGTCAATATATTCATGTTGATGATTGACTCTTTTTCAGTGTGCAGGTTAACCTGTTGACTACAGCATGGATTCATGCTACAACAAAGTCCTTACTAGATATATGCTACAAATTAGTAGAATTATCAGACACCAGTTCCACTGTTATGCTGGTCATACTACATATTTGTGTATAAATGTTGATTAGACTAACCCATAACAAAAACTACAAGCATTTCTTAACACTTTCCATTATTTGTCTTCATTCTGTCTGGTTTAATACTTAAATTGATGTTCTGTATGCCTTCTTCGCATCAACATAGTACCTGTTCTTGTTTCATTGTGATGACATCCTAGATTTAAATTTTGACTGCACTGCAAAAAATTTAAATCTAGCTAAGTCATTTTTTATTAAAATAAGTGCATTTGTTCTTGAATTGAGGAGGTAAAAGAGACATTTTGCCAATGGAACAAGAGAATTTACACTTAAAATAAAACACAATTGCATTGTGTTATTTCAAGTGCATATTATCTAATTATCTTATTTTAAGAGTAAAATTACTCATTCCATTAGCAAACTATCTCATTTACCTACTCAAATTAAGGGTGAATACACTTAATTTAAGACATTTTTTACTTATTTCTAGATCGTTTTTGCAGTGTGGGCTGCTACCAAAGATTAAATGTTTATCTTATTTAGCTTATCTTCTTTGGCTTTCTTTTTAATCCATAATGGATTTTAAATTCCTTCTAATGTATAAAACCCTTAATAAACAAGCACAATCTTATATCAGAGATCTTAATTTATAGAGGAACAGGCCTGAGTGAATGGATGCATGCCACTGTTTCTTACATGTTCTTGTTGTTAATGTGTGTTACTGATTTACTATTACCAAATAAACATTCAAGCTTGTCTACTAGATATGAGGCTAAAGGCCTCTAAATTGGCCGTTCAGTTGTCAAGAAAAAATAATAAACAGTACAGTTACAATAGGCCTTTGCAGCGCTTTTGCTGCTCGGGCCTAATTAAAAGTCAGCAAAAGCTCAGTTCAAGCATTAAGGGGGTGAAGATGATCTGCTGAGCTGCATGCATCATAGGTTAGTGGTTTTTAACCACCGTCCCTTAGGTTTCTATGCTTAGATGATTCAGCATATTCAACCACATTTTTATACCTCCTCAGCAGGTATCAAGCATTGCAGCAAACTTTGAACCAAAATAAATAACCAAAAATACCGTAAAATAATGTTTAATACAGCAGACAGACTTATAACAGACTTATAAATAGAATTAAGGGAATAAAAAACAAACAAATACAAAATGAAATTAATTGGCCGTTTATTTCTTTTTAATTTCGATTTCAGTTTTTCATTATTTAAGGGACAAACAAAACAACACTTACTAACACACACACAGGCTGGATATAAAATAATCCAAGTAGATATTTACAGACGACGTCCATTTTTAGTGGATTAATGCCTCCTCATGATGATGGTGCTGCTGCAGAGAGCAGAAACCTGCCGTTTCTGTTCACAAAGTGTCCATCTTGGAGTTTCTGGTCCCAACTCTGCTTTAAGGCGTCTCTGTCCATCTTATTTAAGCCCTGGGAGCAAAGCCGAAGATCCTGCACCAGTTCAGACAAATCTTCCAGTTCCTCATGGATCCAAGGACCAGACACCTGACACCCTGGTGGAGGAACACAGAGACAGGATGTCATTCATGAAGCTCCTGTATGCAGAGGAAGCGTCCTGAAACCTGTGTCCACCACTTTGCACACAAAGGTTGGGATCTCTGACTCATGCATATATACATTTTGGAGGGAAAAGGAAAATGGCGACAGAGATGGTAAAGTGGAGAACTGATGTAAGATTAAGGCCCCGTCCACACAAAGTCAAAACGAACACGAAACGCTGATATTTTCCAAAACGTTTGCCGTAAAGACGGAGACGTAAAATAAATGTGATCGTCCACACGAATGCATGAAAACGCTGCAAAATGTATGCCAGGCCTGTAAGTGGCGCTGTGGTGCCAAAGCAAAAATAAGCGACGAAATGTTGGGCATGCGCACTAATATTTATACATGGTGGCCCTGCGGGTCCATTTTCGTGGTTCAGTCAAATTCAGGTGCTGAACTATGTCGTCGATATTGCTCTGTTCTTCCTGGAGATATTCCAGAAGAAGAAGATTCTGTTGTAAGCCCGACAGCAGGGTGAGTAGCATTAGCAGCAACGGCGCCATTGTTGTTGTGATACTGGTCGCGCATGCGTGTTTAGAGGCGACGCCATGACGCATGCGTGTAAAAAAAAAAAAAATGCGGTTAGAGCGTAAAGATGGAAACGCGAAAACGGCGTTTCAAAATCTTCCCACTCTGAAGGCCGGATTAAAAAAAAGATCGTTTACAGACCCCCGAAACGCCGGCTTCGTGTGGATGAGAGGCTGGTTTGGTGAAAAATTTGTGCGTTTAGGCCAGGGTTCGTCTTCGTGTGGACGGGGCCTAAGTCCTCTCAGATGTTCACTTAACACAATTTAACAAAAAAATGTGCAGGTGGAACAGTAGCGTGCACGATCCATGTACAGAGGCCTTAGTTCTCGACGTGGCCGACCCGGGTTCAAATCCAACCTGTGGTCCTTTGCCACATGTCTCTCCCCCTCTCTCATCCCCCCTTTCCTGTCAGCCTACTGTCCATAAAAAAGAGCCACTAGTGTCGCAAAAACTCCCAAAAAAAATGTATTAATAAATAATCAAAGATCGACTTCATGAAAGCTTCCAGTATCACAGGGTACTTTGTACTTGTATTGGTGAATCATAACTATAAACGAGGACCTGCCAAATAAATAAGGCCATAAGTAGCTCAGATCCCTAACGTGCAATATTTCTGTTTTCTTAACATCCTTTTCCTCAAAGATCACCAGGGTGAGTCGTACAACAGATCAACCTATATTTAACAAGGTGTTAGGGCTGAACGATTTCTCCAAATATCAAAATTGAGATTATTTTCCCCCAATATTGTGTTTGCAATTTTATTTCGATTTTCCTTTGCAGTAACCCCAAGTAGAACTTTCATTGCAGGCTTTCAATTTTTTTTAAAACTGTCCATTGTTGCAAGATTTTAGTAGAAACTTTGATAGAAAAAGTGCTTACTTCTACTTGCATGCATGGATCTGCAACTTTCTTGACTTTTCGGCAAACCCATTTTAAACGTTTTTACTGCTACCTAAAGAGCCGGAGTGAGAACCTTGCGTTGCGGGACAGAAAGAGACTGAATAAGCTGGTGAGGAAGGCCACTTCTGTCCTGGGCTGCCCTCTGGACTTGGTGGAGGAAGTGGCTGAGAGGAGGATGCTGTCCAAACTCACATCCATCATGGACAACACCTCTCACCCCCTGTACCAGACTGTAGAGGAGCTGAGCAGCTCCTTTAGTCAGAGACTTAGACACCCTGTCTGTAAGAAGGAGCGCTACCTCAGATAAATCATTCCTGCTGCCACCAGACTCTATAATAATATACTATAACCACAATAACTCCTGTAAAAACCACTGTGCAGCTATATTATAGTTTTTTTTATTTATTGACTGTGCAATATTCTGAATGTGCAATATTTCTCCCCCTGTATAAGCCATCCGGATTGTACATATTTTTATTTATCATTATTTTTTTATTTCTCATTTTTATTTTCTTTTTCATTGTGTGCAATACATGTACACTTGCACCTTAATCCTATTTATCTTGATATACTGTATATACCTGGATATATATTGCTTATTCTTAATGCACCTTTTTCCTCCCTGTTTGCACCTTCTGTAACTTCTATGCAAATATGTGACGAGTGAATTTCTCCGTTGTGAGATCAATAGAGCTCATCTAATCTAATTTTTTAATCTTGCTAAATGTAATGGCATTAAAATTGAGTGCCTCTGCGATTTGAAAATTGCATTTTTATTAAATTGCTATTTTATTGCACACGCAATTAATTGCCCATCCCTACAAGGTGAGAGGCATTCATATTGAATGCTGTAAACATTTCAATACCATTGTAATATTCCTGCCTAATTTAGTGTGAAAGATGCATCAGCTTTGCTGGAGGATGCTGAAAATGGGAGAATTTACTGGGAATCGCTAGGATTTCTCAGCTTATGATGATGGCTGGCTTTGGAGCCAATTAGACTCCCTGGACCAGTGGCTTTAAAAGTGGGGACCACCAGGGAAGGAGTCCAAAAAATAGATTTAAAAAAATGGTAAGAAAAAACATCACATTTGATCTAAGCTTTAAGCCTAACTATTAGGCCAGACAAACACGATGACAAAAACAGCTGTTAATGTTAGCCTTCCTGTGTTTACTCTGTAGGACCAAATCCAGCAAGATCAAACTGCATCATCAACCCAGCATGCACTTCACTGGTTTAAAATGACCACCTCCATTGGTGAAAAATAAAACAAGGGCTGTAGAACTTTTGAAGTAATTCTGATTTTCTGCATGAGTTAATAGCAAAATAACTACATATTCAACTAGTTATGGATCCCTTCAACAGTATTATTAATAATCCCTCTTTTTGAAAGTGGTTTATTAGGTTTATGCTTTATACATCATATGCATTGTTACTTTGCTAGCCGGATTAGAGAGAGTAGATGGCCTTCCTTCACATTGTGGACAACGGACACAATGTGAAGGAAGGCCAACTAAGCATCCACAACTAAGCATCCACCTGATGCAACACATAGACTCATGAGCTATAAGAAGCAGGAGATGACCTTGTTCAGGGCTCAATCTTTTCCGGACGCTCGCGGACGTGATTTTTGAGCCCACAGCTGTGCAAGCTCCAAGCTCCATTTTCTCTGTCCTGTAACGACCTGATCTGGAATAAACTCTTACTTTTTTGCTCCTGTTTTATAGTCCTTTTTTATATGGTTTTACCCAGTTTGAGTTAAGAGTAGTAAATAACTTGCTCCCAGGAGAAGAACCGTGAGGAAGCCCCCGAGGCGCAATGGCCTTTTTTTAGGGGACATAACTTCCTGATTTTAACAGGTTTTTATCTGTTCTAGTTTTATTTCCTTTGGACCTTTCTTTGTAACAGCAGCATGCCTTTTACCTTATTTAACTTTATAATCAGTATGCAGAAAAGTTTACATTATTTCAGCTTCAGGTTTTACTAATTAACCCTTACAGGACTGTTTACAGTCAGATATTCACTGGATGTTGCACTGGGGTTTAGTTTAGCGGGATCCAGGAATATTTTGCAAAAGCACCAACTGATGCGCACCCTGAAGGTTAAGAAGGGCCAGCGGTCGAGAAGCATCTCTCATGGACGCCAGGATGCTGTGGAGACCCGCCGAGGTCACAGACGGGTTCCCTGACAGGTTCAGACTCATCAGGGTTGGACACAAAGGAAGGCACCTGAAGGAAAACAAAGACAGACCCAGCATTCAGAGGAACAGAAGACGAGGAGCCCTAAAAAGGTTTGGGAGAGTTAAAAAAAGAAAACAGAATAACACGGCATAAACCTGGCCAAGACAGCCACACTGCTGTCCGTCAGTCCGTTTGACGCCAGACTCAGGTGGCTCAGAGAGCACTCGTCCTGTAAAGAACAAATACAAGAAGAGAGACATACTGGTTGTATTATACAGTGAGACAGAGACGGTTGTCATGTGGTCCTAACACTCATGCACACCTGAGACAGAAGCTTGGTGAGATGTTCTAGGGCGGGGAAGTCAGCAGGACCTCTGCTGACAGCTGACAGGTCCAGATGTGTGAGAGTCTGCATGGGCAGAGTCTTCAGGACCAATTCAAAGCCCGTGGAGCCCAGTGCATTGTGGGACAGCGATACTGACTTTAGGTGGCCAAGTCCTGAGAGTTTAAGGATATGAAAAAAAATATTTAATAGCAGACGTTTGGTCTAATTTAATTAAAATGGCACCATCTCATATTTCTCAATCTTCGGCTGATTTACATAATTATGTAATAACCAACATCCTTCTGAACAGAAAACAATATAGATTGAACCCAATCGTGCTCATCAGGGGTACCTGTCAGAGCGCCAGCAAGCAGCAGCCTGTGTTGCTGAAGGAAACGGGCTGTGAGGCGACAGGCCTGCAGAGACAACTTGGAGAGCAAAGGGCAGCCGGACAACAGGCAGGACAGCGACTCGGACACCGAGTCTCCGAGAGGGTTGAGGCTCAGATCGAGCTCCTCCAGGCACTGCAGAGAAAAAACACGGCAAAGTTCAGGAGAATTTCTAACAGAAATAATCCTCACTAAGTGTGATGAAGTTTTTTTTGAACAAACAAAAATAAACAAGAGGAAAGAGGTCATAAATAACTAATTTCAGCCTGTTTTTTTTTTTTATGATCATGCATTAAGCAGGAATCCTCATGAAAAATACCTAAACTTACGTTTAAAGTGCTAATGTGACAGGAGTTTCCTCCCAGTGTTTAAAACACAGGCAACAACACGGTGTTGTCCCTCCCCCACCTGTTGCTGCGCTTATTTCAGCTCCCTTACTAAAAAATACAAATTCTAATAAATTTAAATGTCACTTAGAGATCCTTTAAGATTTCAAAAAAGCGATGCAATAAGTGGGCATGTTGTAGTTGATCTAAAAAGATTTATTTGCAAATGTTAGGATGTTCAAACTGGTTTATTAAAAACTGTGTGATTCTGGCACTTTGAGATTGGCTGTAAAAGAAAGATGAGGTTCTAAGCCATGTAGTTGGAGGTAATAAGGATAATAATCCTTTTAAAAATAACTATTATACTAAATATCATTGATTGTGCACTGAATGTAGATGGCTTATCTCACAGGGCTACTGACAAAAAAAAAAAAAATGAAAATACCAAAAACAAATATGGTGACTGCTGATAATATTTTTTAAATTATCTTTATAAACATTCCACAATATTTAATTTTAGTGATTTTCTCTATTATTACTAGTAATATTGTTGGCCTAGTTGGTAGAGCAGTGCACTTGTGCTCTGAGAAGGTTGCATGTACCCCCAAAGCCTCCACTGTGGGTCCCTGAGCAGGACCCTCATCCCCACACTGCTCCCCGATCGCCACACAATGGCAGCCCACTGCTCCCCAAGGGGATGGGTTTAATGCAGAGTAAATTTCCCCATTGTGGGACAATTTACATTTTTTACATTTTAATTCTGACAGACCAAATAGGTTTACATGGGCACAGAAGCTCTCTCCTTTGATGCTGCATTTCCCACTGTTAGCTTAAGCACACAGGGTTTTTCCTTTAACTCAGCTTTCCATTAACAGATTGTTTATGCAGCAAAAAAAAAAAAAAACAGTATCTTCACCAAAGGATCAGCAGTCTTCCCACCTGATAGAGGAAACCCCAATATAAAATTTTTCTGTTAAAATCTTTTTTATTTGGCTTCCCTACAGAACCTAACATGTGGGACATTTACTTGGTTAAATCATCCATGTATGAGTTTATTTTGTCGACTGAATGACTTAAATAAAATAAAACATATTTGGCTAACAGGTTTTATACCTATCATTTTTCAGTTGAGCTTTGAACCAACACTGACAGGAATGCAAGCGATGCGGTAAAGATCATTTTCAACCAGTGTGGTTTGAGTCATTAGATCAGAAACAATGATGGGACCTCAAGATAATTTTTTTTAACCAATGTTTCGTAAGGAGAAAAATTTAGACTTTACTGAAACACAAATAAAGAAAATAAAATAAAGAACAAAACTAATAAATAAAATAATTTTCCAAAAGCGATGAAATAATAAGTTAGGACTACTTCTCTTAACAGATTCCACACCCAGCAATGAAACCTAAAACTGCCTCGTCTAAAGCATTCCTTCCAGTCAAGTTGATGAAATTCTTTTTTTTTTGTGGGGCTGTCAGAGTAAAGGACTGGTGATATAAGTAATAATCAATTTTTAAAATATTTTTAATTGTAAAAAGCTTCTGAAGTTCATCTGCGTGTACTTTCACAAATATGCACGTCTTTATCTCTGTGTTTCACAACTAGACTTGTGGTTGGGATGTAACAAACAAGTAGTGTGAACATTTTGCGAGGCACTGTACGCTTTCTGCACTTTAAAGAAGTGTTTTTATTGCCCAGTAGCAGATTTACCGGGAAGGCAGGATGACTGAGTCCCTTCAGAGCGTCCACAGCCTTCTCCAGCCCTTCCCCTGTGATGCAGTTGGCAGAAACGTCGAGCAGCCGGAGGCGGGGCATGGTGATGGTTGTGGCGACCAGCTCGGGGACCAGGCCGTCTGAGAGCCGGTTTCCCGAAAGGCGCAGCTCAGTGAGGCTGGCCTGAAGTTTGAGGGCACGTAGCAGCGGGCTGAGGGGGGAGGCGGCCAAGCTGAGGCCACATACTGACACAGAGGAGCTCCCATCCTGGACCTCAGACAGCCGGGTCAGGCGTTTATCCTCGTCTGGAGACACATTTGATAATAACATAATAAAAATACTACTTAAAAAAATAAAAACTAAATAATTCCCGGGCTGTGCGTAACGACGAGTCGCTCACCCACTGCAAGACTCTGACAGGCCCTCTTGTAGCGCTCAGGGAGGGGAGGGAGATCCCAGGAGGAAACCTCAGCCAGAACCTGCAGAACCCAATTAAAATAGGAACAAATAACTTAGCAAAGGTCAACCTGGGTGCAGATTCATACAAGCTAATTTAGATGTTTGTACAGGGTTCCTACAGCATAAGGCAAGTTAAATTCAAGACTTTTTAATGCCACTTGAAATAAAAATTTAAGACCAAATTCACAAGAAACACAAGAAAAACCTGCTTGCGACAACTTAACCCAAAGGTTTATTTTAACATAAACCACTGCACTAATGTTTCAAATGTTGAAAAGCTTCCCATACAGGAAGAAAGCAAAAAACACACAAATGACAGATATATTTGAACAATTATTTAACTGAATTCACAAACTTTGTTTTAGCAGGGAACAAAACAAATCAGTTTTAAAGCCAAAACATAACCAGTGCTAAGTCTTTTTTGCAGCTATTTTTCTTTGTATGGTTTTCTTACTATGTTTGATTTGGTGATAAGTGGAGGCGTTGCAGAGACAAGGGTGGAACTAAACTGAGAAATACCGGCTGTTTCTCTGTAACTCCATTTTGACGCTTTGTGTTTCGTGCTTCGCATGTGTGACTCCACCGCCTTAATTCCCATCGTTCTGAGCTTGAATGACTTCTTGCACAAAATCCACTGAGCCTCATGTATGTTCCCTGGTTTTAGCCATGGAGAAAACTCTTGGCTGGAGACAATTTTGGTTACATTTACACTTGCTCATATTTTCCAGACAAAAAGTTAATGGTGCATCTCCCAAATGTCACCGGCCGCAACAACGCTTTATTGGTTCTGCTATCGGGACACAACCAATAATGGCGAGCCATTATTTTTTTTTTATAAAAAAAAAAAAGGTCAATTATAATGTTTTATTTAGATTCCAAAAATAAATAGTAATAAAAATAATCCTATTTATGATGTTTTAAAAATTAAGACCTATGAAAGACTGATTTAAGACATTTTAATACCAATTAAGGCCATAATTTCATTTTGAAGAATTCAATGCCTTTTAAGACTTTTTAAGGACCCGCAGGAACCCTGTTGTATGTGATTGTGCAGATATCTCTTTCTTATTTTAACCCCCCCACCTCTTCATTGGTGTGCAGCACAGCCAGCAACAGGTCCTGTGGAGAGAGCAAGGCCCCTTCCTTCTGCAGCGAGAGGCGAGGCAGCAGGCCACACTTCTGGTAGTAACGCTGGGCTGCTTGCTCACAGAGCCACGACACGGTGCAGGAGTCTGCCTCACTGCAACAAAACCCAACATGACTGCTTTAACATCAAACACGCTAAAGCAACCACATCCTGAATCAAGTTTGAGTCCAGGCAGATTTGACTGCATAAAAACACGAGGATCCATATAAAATAACTGAATGATGAAGAGCAATGATGAGGATTCAGAATAAAACAAACCTCTGGGGAACAGGGATGAGGAAGACGTCATCCTGCACTCTGACCCTCATCCTGATTGGTGGGGGCGGGGCTCCTTGTGCAGGAGCAGCAGGACAGCGAGCTAAGGGCTGAAATATGAGAGCAAACAGACCAGGATGAGAAACAAACATAACAGGGATAAGTTTTAATATCAGCTCAGCAATCATAACTCAGCCATCAGGGTGAATGCATTCTATTCAACCAAGAAAGACACTTCATGTGTGTTGGACTGATTCTAAATTATTTAATTTTAAAGCTGCTTCAAAAACTTTAGTAAAATAAAAAAATGAACAAATTAGAGGGTTTTTCAAATTATTACTTTAAACAAACCTGTGCAAGTTTAAGGCCTGAAAGAGATCGAACCTTTATTTAGAAATATATAAAAAGGAAAATGACTTAAGTTTCTCTTTGCTTTCTGTCATATTTAGAAGGACTGGATTTTCATAAAAAAAAACTGATTTGGATACAATTCTCTATATTTAGAGTCAATACTTTTCAATCCAGTCTGATCTCAAATTGGGCTGCTGGTATTGAATGACATAACTGTGTATTTATGCAACATATTAATTAACATTCAACAGCTAATTGATAAAGCAATGATATTCAATGGCAACTGTAATGACATTGGGAAATATAATTGGTTGGATGAATCAATCTCTGGAGATTAAAATGTTTAGTTGGTCAGAATTGAACAATTATTTTAACAGTTTATTAAAAACAATCAAGAGTAAAGAGGGTAAAAGCAATAAAAACAACACAATTTAAAATAAGTATATTAGCAGCACTAAGTATAAGTATAACCGAACGGTGGATTTTGTGAACCGTTCCACCCCTTATCTATATATATATATATATATATATAGATAAGGGGTGGAACGGTTCACAAAATCCACCGTTCGGTTTGGTTCACGGTTTCGTGGTCACGGTGTTCGGTTCAATATATGTTGATTGTTACCCCGAAATCCCATAAAAATTTATGAAAAAATCTAAAAACATTAATGAATTGTAATTATTTTTAATGATCCGCGGAAACCATGGATCATTTCCACATGTTTTGCTGCTTTGAATTTAATCATCTGGCGCATGCCCTCTACGATCTCCAAGGAACTCAGAGCGGAGCGGACGGGAGCCACAGTAGAGGCTGTATGCTTTGCTTTGTGCAGGCGGTCTGGAGCGCAGCGGGGCGGAGCGCTGACGGAGTATGTGGGATTTTGGGGTTAGCATGACATGTTGGTCGTGTTGCTGTTAGCATAAACAAAACGTGTTGCACAATGCTTGCACACTGTTGCACTTTTATCCACAACTTTCTTCCCGCCGTCATCGTAGGTCACTCTAAATGCAAAGTGGTCCCATACAGCAGACCTATAAAGTGCTGCTGGCGCGTCTTCCAACTCCTGTTCTTTCCCACTCACCATACCCACACAATTCTCCACAACAACTGATTTTTTTCTGCTACACCCGGCTACGCTGCTTCGCTTTTTCTTCTTCTTGTTTACTACTGGTGGTTGGCTTTGGTCGCAGTACCGCCACCTTCTGCTCTGGAGTGTAAACACTTCGCCTATGAGAAAAAGGAGCAGCGCATGAACCGAACGCAACACACGCGAACCGAACCGAGTAAGTAGAACCGAACAGTTTGGATGGTTTTCATAAACCGTTCCATCCCTAAAATATATATATATATATATATATATATATATATATATATATATATATATATATATATATATATATATATATATATATATATATATATATAAAAAGAGTGATAAAAAGAGGTTCAGAGAAGGACAAACCATTTCACGTCTAACCAAGGAAGGAATAATAAATATATACTTTTATACATTTAGATCTCAAGGCATGGATGTTGAATGCACTAATGAATCAGCGAGCACATGCATGTGTCAGAGGATACTGACACAAAAAATAGATAAATCATGCCCCGCTAATGTCCAATACTGGTCGGTTGATGCATCAGCCGACTTGAGAGAAAGTTTACATTTCGTTCTGCTGCAGATTTCTCCCTTTTAAGAAGGACGTTTTCCTGCATCCTCAGGAATCAGGGATCTCTGCAGAGTTGGACTCAATGCATCTAGAAAGACCTTTCAACAATAAACTAAACCCGCCTGCATCATAACTCATTTTGAAAACTGTTAAAAAAGGTAAATGTCCCAAAACTTGCTCTGCTTTGCTCTTTATTCAGTTAAATTCCTAAAAGGACAAAAAGCTCCCGTTTCCAAAAGTAGCTCCGTCTGTAGCTCACCTGGTAGATCATCTGCGGAGGAGTCTCAGGTCTCGTGTCTTCATCGTCTGTAATGGACGGACTGCTTGACCTGCCGACCTCTCTGGAGCCTAACCTCACCATCCCTGGCATCTGAGTCATCTTCACCTGACGAGGCTTAAGTGAGCCGTTCTTCTTCAGACAGAGACTCCGGCTGGAGGAGCTGAACACAGAGCCTGGAAGAATAGAGCATAAGGAAAGTGACATGAGCAAGGAAAAGGCGATAAAACCTCCAAACCAAGTCTGAAGCGTTACCGCTGCAGGATGCGTCAGAGTTCAAATGATGGTTCTGATTTCTAGCAGCTGAAGATGAAGCCGCCTCTTCCCTTCTGGGTCTGTTAGGATCCGTGTGAAGCCTCCTCTTTTTCTTTGGCTGCATCTCCCCCAGATCGTCATCCAACCAGTCGTCAGCCAGATACTCGTCCTCCGGAACCAGAGCGGATCTGCTGGTGGATGAAACAGCAGGCGTGCTGGAGAACTGAGGCTGTGAAAGACCCTGACGAAGAGTTTTGGAGCTGCCCAAGCTGCGAATGGTGCTATGGTAATCGTCTCGTTGGAAGACGCATGTCGCCGGGGCCTCCCTGTTACCCTCCCCAGAGGAGTTGGGGGGCCGCAGAGGCTCCTTGTTAGAGGGATTGTCCCTTTGAGTCGGCGCTGCTGGGAAAGCGTTTCTGGGACGGACAGGGCGGAGAGGACTGACCGGAGCATCTGAGTCGCTGTCATCTGAGCTGCTGCTGGTAATCTAAACAACACAGAAATATTCTGGTCTTATCATCTAGAGATCACAAAAAAATAAAAAATAGCTGTTTTTGTTTTGCTTTCCCCAAACATTACCCCGTATAAAACAGGGCCCTCTGTCCCTCGCACTTTGTGGCGCTGCGACGAGCCACCGCTTGACCACTGTCTGGGACTGCCTGCTGCGCGTTTCCCCTCAGACGTGTCGCCGTTTCTGGGTCGGTCCGGGTTAGAGGAGGAGCCCCCTCCAGCGGGCGTCAGAGGCTCAGAGTTCTCTGCGTCAAACAGCTGGCTGTCCTGCAGGGCCTCAAAGGGCTTGGCTGCAGCGGGGGCAGCAGGAACTGTGGTTGGCAGGAGAAAACAGAAACTAAAGGTCCTGGCAGGGAAGTGTTAAAAGCAACATTTTCCAGCTAAGCTAAACGCTCACTTCCTCCTGCAGCTGACTTCTTCAGCAGCCTCTCTGTAAAGAGACATTCTTGCCTCGTCTCCTCGTCCAGCTCTCTCCTGTAAGTCCGCTGCCAGTGGCGCAGGGTGTCCATTGGAGTCTCTCCCTAAAAAAACAAAATAAACATGGCAGATTGAGAGTTGGGGTTACCAACAGGTTTTCTACAACTACAGACTCTTCAGAAGCTCCAGAGAGAAGCTTGAACTGGGAATCTATGGAAAAAAAGACAAAAGATTGAAACCTGGTTGACCCAAACCAGACCACAGGTGCAATTTTTCTTTAAAGTATTACCTTAAAGTGAGATATATTTAATATTTTTTCAGGTCAACATTCAGCAGTGTGATGCTCTGTGCAGGCTGCCCTTCTCTAAAACTAACCTTAAAAGGGATGGATCCATCACTGAACAGGTCATGTGACCCAGAGCACTGCTTCATGACCGTCTGAGCTCCCCTTAAGCAGGAGAGCTGACCGAGTTAAAGGGGTTGTTAGGCATTAAAACATACATGATGCCTGATCAGACTTTATTTATTCTATGATGTCGGTTTTAATCTACAGGGGTGAATGTGGTCTCGTCTTTAGAAACATTTCTGTCAATATCTCAATCTGTTGATCCTAAATGGTCTGCTAGCAGATTCCAAAAAAAAAAACCGTTTCATTTTTTTATGTTTTTGCTGTTGGCCTTCATGGGGGCTAAAGCTAGAAGCTATTGACAGATTTTATTTTGTATTTCCTCAAAAGCGGATGAGATTTACTCTGAAACGTCGTGTCTCTTCGTATTAGACCCATGAAAATGTCTCAGAATTGCTGCGTAGTCTGACTAAAATAGGCATCGGGTCTATCTCAGTTGCAGACAGACCTGTTTTCCAGTGTAGTCCTGTTTCTCTGACTGTGACTGGCTGAATGTGCTCTCTTCATCCTCTGGCATGGGAGTTGGCTCAGAGCTCGTCTGCCTGGCTGTGTGTTTCCTGGACCGGGCCGCCTTTTACATCTGCTTTTTGTGTCTCTGCTTCTGTCTCATTGATCCCCAGTCGGCCTCAGCAGATGGCCGCTCACACTGAGCCTGGTTCTGATGGAGGTTTCTTACTCTTAAAAGGGAGTTTTTCCTTTCCACTGTTGCTACAAGCATTGTTAGTGTGAAGGATTGCTGAAGAGTCAATGAGTCAATTCAATCAACTGGTTTTCCTTAGATAGAAAACTTTGAATCAATTTGACTGGATGATCTGGTTGAACTGTAAAGTGCCTTGAGATGACTTGTGTTGTGAATTGGCGCTATAGAAATAAACTGAATTGAATTGAGATAATTTCTGCAAATCCCCTTGCAGAAAATCATGTTGGGTGTGTTCAGCCCTTCTGGATTCAAACTCCTAAAAATACTTTCAATAAGTGTTTTAATTAAGAGTAATTTTCATTTGAAAGTGCTTTACTGGAGCACATTGTTTGTCAAAGAACACTACTGCCACCTACTGGTTTGTGACTTCACGGTGCGGTATCGGCTGTTGATCAAGTCCCAGTGCTGTATCTGGTGTTTGTCACAACGCGCTATTATCCAAGTCATCTTGAAAACATTCTTCTTCCAAATGTTGGCTACATATTACGTGTTTTTTCTCTGACCAGAAGTTCGATGGCAAATCCTCCCTCTTCAAGTTGGCGATCCAACGACCAACCCGTCCGTGAATCAGAAAGGTGGAGTAACTCATTAAAACATCCAGCTGCCATGCACGTGGGCATTGTCAGTTTCACTATAGCTCTGGTGAATTTCAATGGTGAAGTCCTCTGGAAATCTTCAATAATTGTTGATTGCAGATGTGTCTAGTAGTTCCCATTGATTTTACTTGTAAAGCGGGGAGAATGGCGCTAAGCTTACCGCACCGTGACGTCACTGCTGGAAGATGGCAGGAGGGAGGGGTTACTAGATTTAGGCAATAACGGACGCTCCCGGGCTCAGTGATTGAGACGAAAATTATTTAAATTTTTTTACTGATTAAAGTTAAATTCATTAAATCACAGCGAACGTATTAGTTTTAGGTGTAAATAATGATCCATTGATTATTACGTGCCGACCGGACTTTTCGCTAAAGGCCATGACACAATTATCTGTCAGATCGATGCAAAATCGTGTTGTGTTCAGGGTTTAATGAGAAAAATTTATGGTAAAAGTAGTGTAATTCTTATCTAAGCCCAATATATATATATATATATATATATATATATATATATATATATATATATATATATATATATATATATATATATATATATATATATATATATATTTATATTATATATATATTTTTTTTTTTTTTTTTTCTTTAGACTGATCTGATGACAAGATTTCTGTTGTGATAAAGATTTTTCAGCAATACGCACCATTTTGCTCTTATGTCTTATTTTTGCTTTTGATTTTCCCTCCATGCCGCAGCGTTCTCAGCAACCCCCAGCAGCTAAGTGAAAAACACTGATGTAGATTAGGGATGCACGATATTGGGATTTTGGCCGATATCCGATATGCCGATATTTTAACTCATGTAGCCGATAACCGACATCGATACCGATGTTAAAGCTGGACAAAAATAAGCAGTCATTGAAAATAGCAGTTTTGTTATCCATTTCTGACACTTTGGAAAATAATATACTCAAATATATTTTCATATGCTGATATCAAATAGATTTTTAAAAACGCGGTATCGATCTATTTTACTTTCAAAATCTCGTGAAATTTCATCTTTTTGTTACAAACTCTCGTGATATTTTGCAAATTCTTGTGAGATTTTGTTAGTAAAATAGATTGATACCGCATCAATATATCAACATATAAAAATATGGCAACATTTCATGAATTTTCGGGGGATTTCGTAGCATAACGATGACATATAGCAATATTTAATTAGTAAAAGAGATTGATATGGTGTTTTTAAATGGCAATATATCAGCATATGAAGATATTGGGATATTTTAATGTATCAATATTTTTTCCCTCGTCTTTAGAAGTTTTTGAGGAAGAAGAAGAAGTAGTATTTTTTATTTTTTTAGACTTTAGAAACTCAGAAGCTGATCAAATATCGGGTTAAATATCGGTGGGGTGGCCGATGTCCGATATTAAGTTTTAAGGCCGATACAGGCCGATACCGATATAGGGGGCCGATTATATCGTGCATCCGTAATGTAGATAGTTTTTTTTTTTGGTTCAGAAATCTTGAGCTTTTGTTTTCTACTGTTCTCCGTTAAAAAAATGTTTTAGGGTCTAAATGTCTTTTTATTGAAATTCCTTAATCATATGGTAACAGCAGACTGAAAATACTCCGATATTCTCACAGAATAAAACATTTTACTGCAAACCATTGCTGATTAGATTACCCAACTAATAATGTTCACTTTTAAAAAAAGGTACCGATAAAGATCACACACACAAACCTTAGAATTGCGAATCGTGACAGAAGCCCCTCGCTGCACCAGCAGCTGAGCAACTTTGAGATTTCCACAAGCGAGTGCATCATGCAGGGGGGTCACTCCCTCACAGAGCGGCCCGCCGGGGTCGTTGATGTTAGCGCCGCGCTCCAACAGAACTGCTACAATATCTGCAAAACAGATAAAAAAATACAGGAACCCAGTGAGCAAAGTAAAGATATTTCCCCCCCAAAACACAAGCTGTGCAGCCAGTAAAGGATGAGTTACCATAGTGACCGTGGTTGCAGGCTTCATGCAGGGGAGTCCATCCGCAGTAGTCCCTGGGGTTCACTGGGTGACCCTGACAACCAAACACTGATGTTTTACCCTCATGATCACAAAGATCATCGTAAACATTATTATCTGAACTGAGACAATATTTGAAAAGCTCAGACGAGAAGCTTAAAGGTGCAGAGACTCATTAAAGGCACACTATGCAACATTTTTCAGTTAATTAATGTGTTCCATAACGTTTTGGATGATTAAATGAGTCATTTCAGGTTGAACAAAGGTATTCTCGGCCGCCCTGGTGGTCTGTGGGGGAAATACTGCACTTGCAATTGCAGGAGCACCGACCCGCACCCACAGGCTCAGAAGTCTCGTGAGAGTCAGTCTTGCTTTACGGCGAGAACTGCTACACCCCCCCAGTTAACAGCATTCTCGTTGCTAGCACAGTGGCGATCTTTGTGCAGTTATGCTACGTTCACGCAGCAAAAGCAGCAAAATCGCGTCTGCTGCTTCATTTTTGCTGCCTGTACCAGTTATTTCTGACGCGCGGCTGAAGCAGCTTTGCTGCTCTGGCTGCGCGGTGCAAAAGTGTGTCTGACGCGCTTTGGGCGGAGCTTCACTATCCTTTCTCTGCCTTGCAGCTATATTTGCTGTGATCAGTGGGAATAAAGTAGTTTTCATATGTGTTTACGTTTTCAGGTGTATTTTCTCACTTAATCAGTGCCGTCAGTTCATTCAGATTATCATCCTCCCTTACAATATTTTTTCTGTCGGAGCCGCTCAGACCCCCACATACCAGCGGTGTGCCGACAGTATGGATCCCTTCATCAGCAGCCTCTGGCCGGGTCGCCTCCTCGCGGTTCACCACGGCAGCTGGTAGGTGTTTTTCATCTAAATAATCCAAACTGCATATTCTGCCGGCAGATTTCTGCATTTTAAGTTAATTTAGGCGTCAATAAACTGTTTAAGAGGAGAGATCATCAGCGCTGTGTCTCTCTCCCTGCGTCAGATGCTTAAACGCGCCCGATGCGCTGCTTCAGCTGCTCAGACGTGCTGCGCCTTCTGCTCAAAACGCGCCGCGGGACCTTTTGCTGCGCCTTGACGTTACGTTGCATGTAAACTCGCTGCTTCTGTCGCGCCAGCTGCCGTGTGAACGCAGCATTAGTCATTCGTTGCGTTCGCCTGTCTGCTAAGCTCAAAACAACCGCGCCTGGCTTGACGGAGAAACCAGGAGAACAGCTGAGCATATTTACGACAGTGCACTTATACTTTCGCCCTCTGGGGGGAGCCTCGCTGGAAAATCAACACCGGTTGCATAGTATACCTTTAAAGGACTTTTCATACCAATCAGCAGCCCACTCTAGCCGCATATCAAGTTTTCTAAAAAAAATTCTGCATCCTGTTGGGAGTGTTATTTGTAATTTTTGTGTTTTAAGCCTCTTTTTTTTTGCTCACTTTCTTATTGAATAAAGTCCTTCAGTGTCTATTTACAATAACACTGTTGTCGGAAAATTTTTATCTCTCTTCTATTATATATTAATTTATCCTATTTACTCACTATAAAAGTTTTCACTCAGTCTGTTTCTCTCAAGGCCACACAATTCTCTGCAGGCTGGTGTTTGTAGACGAGACATAGCTTCTTCCCATAACAAACTAGATTCTTTCTCAAGGTTTATTCATAACATGTTACTATTGTTAATTTCGTTAACGAAAACTAAACGAAAATATTTTCGTCAACGCACATTTTTCACCGAACGAAAACTAGACGAGACGAAAATCCCCACTAATGAACAATAACTGGGAGAAAATCTGAAATAATTTTCGTGGATTAATAAAGACGAGACGAAAATGCAGTTCGGTAAATAAAGACCAGCCATCCAGAAACAGTGACAGGCCAGCTATACAAGCTTCCTTAATTGCCAACTCCAAATACAAAGCTGACTCTCAGGACTAGCAAGTCACCTTAAATACTGTACCTTTATAAACCATGTGAACTAGCAGGCAGGAAAGCACTTTTGTTGTATCAGTTGGAGTTTTTTTTTTCACAACATTGATCTCAAATCTATTTATTTTATTATTCTATGTGAACTAGCTTTAAACAGCCAGCACTTGTGTAAAGTTCATAAGACACTTTATTTTATTTATTTGTTTCCTTTGTCAGGTGTATTTTATTTGTTTTAATGCAAGCATTTGTGTTTGTGTCTTTGAACCTTAACAATGTTCGAAATAAATATGCAAATATTGTCAGAACATCTTCCATGTCTGCATGTGTTCCTTAAAATTGTGTTATTTTATCAAAAAGATGAGAGAAAATGTTGAAATGTGAAATAATTTTAGGGAATGTTAAATATTATCTGCTGACAAAAAAGTAAAAGGCTAAAATGATGTCCTGACTAAAACTAAACTAAAATGTTGACAGTTTTTGTTGACTAAAAATAAACAAATAAAATTATGTTTTCTTGGACTAAAATAAAGACTTAAATGCTCTGACTTATAGTCGACTAAAACTAGACTAAAAAAAAATGGGATGTCGACTAAATGTGATAAAAACAAACAAGCGATGCTGAAACTGGACTAAAATTGAAACTAAATTTAAAAATGGCTGGTAAAATTAACACTACATGTTACTGTTAACCAAAGTTATTTGTTTTGACTTTGACTACTTTTGCAGTGTTCTAAGTAAGGGGGGGACGAACCCTGCTCATGCAGAACAGAGCAGAATGCTGTGCCATTAGGGCTGTATGATGAACTGTTCTCTCTTTGCAAAGATATGAATAAATGTGCCGACTGAGTGAAATCCATCGATCTCCGTTTATTTAACTAGGGTGAATAGTTGAATACTTTTTTTCCCACGACAACACCAAGTAACCAGAGCAATGGCAAAGTTGCGAAAAATACTGAGGAAAAGTCCAAAATCCTGGGTTAAAATGGAACGTTGTCAGTAATTAACGGTACCCATTTTCAGTGTCATGCAAAAGTCATCTAACCTTGCCTAACGACAAGCCGCTAACGGTTGCTAACGGTGATGAATGCAGGACGTTGTAGCCTTAGATCTGAGGCTGTTGCACAATTGCACAATCCTCAGCCTTGTGAAAATCTTTATCGTGATCAAATGCTTCGACCCATTCTGAAGTATTCCCGTCGCTGACCTTGTACTTCACCTCACAAATACTGCAGCAGGGTTAATGACCTGCATTGCATTTTGGGAAGTAGAGAGCTTTCTGTTAGCTATGCTTGCTGCATTTACTGCAGCAACGGTTTCTGACCTCACCACACTCTCGTGTGTGTACTGCTGGAAAATCGTGGACTATTCCACCCCCATTATTACACCATGATGCGTTTCAGCACCGAAACATGGCATCATTTGTTTCTTCATAAAAAAAAAAAATGGAATTTGATCGGCGCTGATAAAAAAACAAAATTCGAGTCATGCGCTGTTAAGTAACTGCCTCAGTTGTCGCCATCAGGCTTTCTGATGTTTTACACTATTGCCAGCAGATGGTGCCAATTCTGTTTATGTCTGCTCATGGAGCACCCAGTGCTGGAATTCTGTTTAGCCTTAAAAACTACCATCTAAACCCTATCAGGGTGGACGCTTGGTGGAAATGACCTGATTGTATCCAAATCTAATGGTTTTTTGTTCAGGTAAATAATGTGACTATGTACCTTTAAACTTTTCATCGATTTTATCAGCTCAGTGGAGAGGGATTTACTAGAGAAAGTGATGTTTCACCTGTTCCACCAGGTACTGGACCTGCTTCAGGTTCCCATCTATACATGCTCTGTGGAGGGACGTCTCTCCCTTTTCATTCCTCTTGTTCCACTGCAGCAGAGATTGATAAAAAGTTAAGAAAATACATGTAAAAACTAAGAATAAATGAGAAACGTCTGCTTGTGCACCTCACCCTTCCTGTCTTCCTCCTTCCAGACACCATCTTGTCATAACCCTCCAAATCATCATCTACAATCAACAGGAGGCCAAACAGGACAAGCATGAGATAAATGCTCCTTCTCTAGCTGAGAGTTCTTTGTTTTGGATGGTAGAGAGAGAGCGCTGCCCCCTACCTGAGTCTGACAGAACGACATCACTGTCGTCTAGAGGTTCGCTGTTGTCCATCTCCTCCTCTGCATCCTCCTCTCCATCACTCCCCTCTGGATCCCAGCCCTCTGAGGAGCAGAGCTCGTGCAACCTCGCCTCGGTCTCATCAGCATTCACCGAGCTGCGCCGTCTCTGGGACGCCAGCCAGAGCCGCAGCGTTCGTTTCTGTGGGAGTAAAGGCAGCTTTCATTGACACTTCAGGTTTTCGCATCCTGTCGCCTGAGGGGACTGAGAAATTAATGAGCTTATATAGGTTTTATATGTTTAAAAGTGGTGTTGCATAGCCATAACCATGCACCTTGGCCTTGAACACTTGAATCAAACAGCATTTTTTATTTCCTTTGGGGAGAAAAAATCCATAATAAAGCTCCTTAACTAAAAGGAGACATTTAGGATTCCTCATCTCTCTTGTTGCTCCTATCCTACAGCTGTTCAGGTAGAAGAGGATAAGATTATATTCAGACTAGTCAGAGTATGCTCTGTTTGGGGTATAGAGGCCTTATTTACATCGACCATGTCTGGGATTAACCTTTAGGGGTAAATGGGGTATATGCATTTTTAGCCATTTTTTAAAGATTTGTTCTTAAATGAAAAATTGTAAAATTTTTGTTTGGGTTTAAATGCTGCTGTAAGCTGGAGATCCTTTCAGCAAAATTGCCCCTTTAAGAGTCTGTACTATTACTCTCAGTAGCAATTCGATTACCAAATTAGTTAACGGTTATTTTAATAATAAGTTAAACATGATTAAACCAATTAATCGATTCAGACAGACTGATTGAGGGTCGTATTTTCACTGCTACAGAAGCAGCATGCTATTGTTATCTACAGTCCTATATTATGCCTAGAAAAAACACCCATAACTACAGTTCATGTTGGAATAAAGTCTTTATAGGCCACTCAGTGAAATATTGTGAAAATCAACACTTTAAGCCAATAGTGTTATTTGAATCCCGGAAAAGACCCCATTACTTTTTTAACATTTAAAATATATATATTTTGATAGCAGAAGTTTATCTCATGAAAAGGCTACTTGCCCTAATATATTAAGAAAAAGAACAAAAGTGCTTCTATAAGACATTAATGAAAAACACTCCCAGTGTGAAAGAAACAGCATAACCTTAGAGTATTAATAAATAAAAAAAATTTAATTATGTTTTTTACTTTACGTTTTAACTTTTCAATTAGCCGTTTAACTTTTTTTCAACCTAATTTACAGTAGGTAACAGAAATCAAGGGCTCATCTAATTCGTCAAATGCCAAATAAACATGAACAGCAAGCTAGTAGGATCTTTGCTGAATGGCTGGATATAGATCTTGTGCTTCTAGACTTCACTTGGGGGGTGGGGGGGTATGCAAGTGATCAAAAAAGGTAGCTTGTGCAATAAAGGGTAAATAGTGTTTAATTTATCCGTTTTAACCTGAAAAGATTGTTAGCACTGAACACAATCAGCAAACAGTTTGGTAGCTTTAGTGAATACTAGTGTTAATACAGGTGCTGGTCATAAAATTAGAATATCATGAAAAAGTAGATTGATTTCAGTAATTCCATTTAAAAAGTGAAACTTGTATATTATATTCATACATTACATACAAACTCATATATTTCAGATGTTTATTTTGTTTAATTTTGATGATTACAAATGACAACAAATGAAAATCTCAAATTCATCATATCAGAAAATTAGAATATTGTGAAAAGGTTCAAAATTGATGGCCCCTGGTGCCACACTCTAATCAGCTAATTAACTCAAACCACCTGCAAAAGCCTTTAAATGGTCTTTCAGTCTAGTTCTATAGGCTACACAATCATGGGGAAGACTGCTGACTTGACAGCTGTCCAAAAGACGACCATCGACACCTTGCACAAGGAGGGCAAGACACAAAAGGTCATCGCTAAAGAGGCTGGCTGTTCACAGAGCTCAGTGTCCAAGCACATTAATAGAGAGGCGAAGGGAAGGAAAAGATGTGGTCGAAAAAAGTGTACAAGCAAGAGAGATAACCGCACCCTGGAGAGGATTGTGAAACAAAACCCATTCAAAAATGTGGGGGAGATTCACAAAGAGTGGACTGCAGCTGGAGTGAGTGCTTCAAGAACCACCACACACAGACGTATGAAAGACATGGGTTTCTGCTGTCGCATTCCTTGTGTCAAGCCACTCTTGAACCACAGACAGCGTCAGAAGCGTCTTGCCTGGGCTAAAGAGAAACAGGACTGGACTGCTGGTGAGTGGTCCAAAGTCATGTTCTCTGATGAAAGTAAATTTTGCATTTCCTTTGGAAATCAAGGTCCCAGAGTCTGGAGGAAAAGAAGAGAGGCACTTCATCCACGTTGCTTGAAGTCCAGTGTAAAGTTTCCACAGTCAGTGATGGTTTGGGGTGCCATGTCATCTGCTGGTGTTGGTCCATTGTGTTTTCTGAGGTCCAGGGTCAACGCAGCCACATACCAGGAAGTTTTAGAGCACTTCATGCTTCCTGCAGCTGACCAACTTTTTGGAGATGCAGATTTCATTTTCCAACAGGACTTGGCACCTGCACACAGTGCCAAAGCTACCAGTACCTGGTTGAAGGACCATGGTATCCCTGTTCTTAATTGGCCAGCAAACTCTCCTGACCTTAACCCCATAGAAAATCTATGGGGTATTGTGAAGAAGAAGATGCAATACACCAGACCCAACAATTCAGAAGAGCTAAAAGCCACTATTAGAGCAACCTGGGCTATCATAACACCTGAGCAGTGCCACAGACTGATCGACTCCATGCCACGCCGCATTGCTGCAGTAATACAGGCCAAAGGAGGCCCAACTAAATACTGAGTGCTGTACATGCTCATACTTTTCATGTTCATACTTTTCAGTTGGCCAACATTTCTATAAATCCTTTGTTTTTATTGGTCTTCAGTAATATTCTAATTTTCTGATATGATGAATTTGAGATTTTCATTTGTTGTCATTTGTAATCATCAAAATTAAACAAAATAAACATCTGAAATATATGAGTTTGTATGTAATGTATGAATATAATATACAAGTTTCACTTTTTAAATGGAATTACTGAAATCAATCTACTTTTTCATGATATTCTAATTTTATGACCAGCACCTGTATTGTGTTCTGAGCACAGCTCGTCTCTTATCCCTCTTGGCAACTAATGCTTTCTGTACTTTTCAACTCTTAATCTTGGACTTAAGCAGCTTCTTTTAATGAATCTGGCGAGTCGTTGCTTTTCTCTATTATTTCCTTGTTTATTTATCGTGTGCGTAACATCAGAACACCAGTCATTAACTATCATTACAGTAAATATATGCAAAACAATTTGTTTACTGAAACATTAAGTTTATTTTTGTGCCTTAATTTGAATCACATTTGCACAAAACTAGAGTTAACAACTTTAGAAGTTCTTGAAGTCATTGGAAGTAAAGAAAAACACTTGAATTAAATTGAATAAAAAAAATAATATAATCAGAGATGAAGTCATTAAAGGCTTCAGTTTTGCTTTGCCTTTAATTTAGCATCAAATTAAGGGCAGTTTAACACTTATTTTGTTCATAAAAAAGGATTTATTTTTTAAATATAGCTTGAGGGATTTGTTTAGTTTTGAACTTTCTTGTTTTTTCCCCCAAAATAAATAATTATTTTTGTGTTTTTGCTGCCGACAACCATCCAACTGGGACCTGAGAATCAGAGTGCAAACTGAGCCGTGACTAAGGTGCACCATTACACCCCTAATAAACATCAGGTACAGCTGCCCTCCTCCATTCAGCTTAAGTCCTTTTCTTTAACTCACCTGAAGCCTGGCTTGTCCTGACGCCTGTGCACAGCTTAGGGCCGACCTGTAGCTGCTTTCGATGTCCTCCAACATGCATCCACTCTCCTCCTGAGCTGCCGCAATGTTCAGCCATGTGCTGCACTCCTGAATCAGAAACATGTCTGAAGTGAAAACAAGTAAAAGATGGTAAAAGTGTCCTTTAAAGAGGAGGCTGCGTGCTATGAAGGATCACCTCGGTGAGGTTGCCCTGGCGCAGAGCGAGCTCCTTCCTGTAGTGCTCCACTGCTCTGCTGTGCTGCCTCAGGTCTGTGTAGGTGGCAGCCAGGGACACGTGGATGACAGCCAGCTCCCGTGCAGGTTTCCCCAAAGCTTCAGCAGCCTTCAGCTAAACCGCATCAGAACAATGAAATCCAGTTAATGGCAGCAGAGAAAGTAAAAACCCAACTACATTTTTTTGTTTTTTGGTATGTCTCACCTGAGCCCGATAGGCCTCCAGAGCTTTGCTGTAGCATCCCACTTTACAGCAAAGATCGCCCAGCTGCTCGGACAGCTCCACGCTCTGATGGGAGCCCAGCCTGCCGCCCTGATCCTCTGACAGCTCCTCCTCTAGTTTACAACCCTTATCAGCTGTGGAATTTGAAGCAAATCATAGCAGGAATAAAAAAGATTAAAAAACATAGATGGCCCAAACATCCATGGATCCATAAGCAATATTTTTTTTCACTGTGTTATTGTAGTAAAATCATTTAGGTTCTAATTTCTATTTCTAAAAAGCAACACTATGTTAAAAAAAATAATCTGTGTTGCAAGAACAATGGAAAACCACAAATAAAATTACAAAAAAATTGCCATAACTTACATACTTAATGGTGTAAATAAAAAGTTACCTAAAAGCAGTTAAAAAAAAGAGTTGAAAGTGGAGTAATTTGTCCTTAAAATGAGGTCAATCTATGTCAGAGTATATGCATTAACTCTGCTCAAAAAAATGAACTACCTTTACTCACACGTTTGACTTCATATTGTAACTTCTTATTTATTTATATCTTATATATTATGTTAATAATCTGAAATCAGTATACATTTGGACTTAAACAACTAATCGGATTAATCGGTTAAGCAATTACTGAAATAATCATCAACTAATTCAGTAATCAATTAAATTTTAACTGGAAACTAAAAATATATAATTCTTATTTTTATGTATCTATATATATATATATATATATATATATATATAGAGAGAGAGATATATATACATACATACATACATCTATATATACACACACACACACACACACATACATGCATTAGGGGTGGAACGGTTCACAAAATCCACGGTTCTGTTCGGTTCACGGTTTCATGGTCACGGTTTTCGGTTCCGTTCGGTATACGTTTATTGTTACGCCGAAAAAAAAATAAAAAATAATAAAAATTATAAAAATTAATGAAAAAAAATAAATAAATAATGAATTGTAATTATGTTTAATCATCTGGCGCATGCCCTCTACCATCTCCAAGGAACTCAGAGCGGAGCGGACAGGAGCCACAGTAGAGGCTGTATGCTTTGCTTTGTGCAGGCGGTCTGGAGCGCAGCGGGGCGGAACGCTGACGCAGTATGTGGGATTTCGGGGTTAGCATGACATGTTGGTCGTTTTGCTGTTAGCATAAACACAACTTGTTGCACAATGCTTGCACACTGTTGCACTTTTATCCACAACTTTCTTTCCGCCGTCATCGTAGGTCACTACGATCAAATGCAAAGTGGTCCCATACAGCAGACCTATAAAGTGCTGCTGGCGCGTCTTCCAACTCCTGTTCTTTCCCACTCGCCATACCCACACAATTCTCCACAACAACTGATTTTTTTCTGCTACACCCGGCTACGCTGCTTCGCTTCTTCTTCTTCTTCTTCTTCTTGTTTACTACTGGTGGTTGGCTTTGGTCGTACCGCCACCTTCTGCTCTGGAGTGTAAACGCTTCGCCTATGAGAAAAAGGAGCAGCGCATGAACCGAACGCAACACACGCGAACCGAACCAAAACAGTCGAACCGAACGGTTCGGACGGTTTTCATAAACCGGTACATCCCTAATACATATACATATAAATACAAAAAAACATTTTGCATTTAAGATTTAAAAAAAATTTCGTCTGCCAATATGCTCTATCAAGCAGAAAAGTTTTAGTTTTACCTTGTTTAATTTCACAAACAATTTTCCATAAGGAACCTTTTTACTATCTGATTATTAATCAATTAATCAATAAAAGTAATCGACAGATTAATCCATTTGCAAAAGTAATCATTAGGTGCAGCCAAGTATACATGCAAACAAACTAATAAATACAATTAAATAATAATATGCTCTTTAGGGGCCTACTAGTTGCCTGAAGGCCCCAAGCAGTTGCTTAGTGTGCTTATAATTTGGGCCGGCCCTGATAAAAAATAAAAAATACACAGACAAAGCTGGAGAGGAATTCACACCGTATTTGAAAGATTTCTTCACAGCCGTTTTGTCAGCCTCCTGCTGTGACCCGAGAAGCAGGGCCTTCTTCAGAGATCGTCTGGCTGCTACGAAATCACCAAGAGTAAGCTGCACCTGTTAACAGAAGTGGTCAGAACAAGCAGAACCGCAGCGCCACGCGGCTAAAGGCCCTCCCGCTGTTCAGACCTTGCCGATGCAGTGGAAGCACTCGCTCTCACTGAACTTGTCTTTCATCTTCCTGGCGCATTCTTTGGCCTGCTCCAAGCAGCGCACGGCGTTGGAGGGCTCCAGGTTACGGAAGTAGATGTTGCCCAGGTTGAAGTTTGCCCGGTAAAGATCCTCCAGCAGCTGGCTTCTCCTTTGCAGCACAGAGACCAGAAGAGTTCAAGCTGATCAAATCCACTGCTAATGGAGGGGCAGCAAGTTAAAATACCAGATTATTTCTGTTTATGGATCAGGATATTCATCTCTAACCTTTTTAAATTTTTTTAAACCCACTGCACTACAGAATTGATGTAAATAAATCTACCTCTTATTAATTCTTTGTTCTGGTGATCATTGACCAAGGAGAGCCTGGCAGATTCTGATCGTGGAAGATTGATGCAACTCAGGCATTGAAAGAAATTATTTTCCCGCTTCTACTTACTCTGCGATAAAAACACTACGCCGAATGAACTCGCTGCAGCGTTTGTGCTCCCCCAGATGATCACAGACCAGACCCAGGTTGAGATAGAGACGAGCCTTCATCTCATTAATCTCCCTCTCAGGAACAGTCCCTGAAGAGCGAAGATGAGAAAGCCAATCCACTGGAAATCATTCAACCTCACTCCCTGAAATCGTGACCTTAACCAAACAGAGACGATACGCACCACCTAGTCGATCGTCCACAACGGCCAAGCTCTTCCTGAAAGCGTCCTCTGCCTGCTTTAAGGTGTTTCTAGATTGATCAGATTCGTACCGAAACAGGAAGGTTCGACCAATAGTGGCCAGAGCTCTCTGCTCCTCTGCATGATCGCTGACGGAGCGGGCCAGGTCCAAGTGACAGCGCTGGTGCTGGACAGGAAGCGTGACACAAGTAAGACAGATTTTCAGCAACATAAACCTTTTTCCGTAGAGAAAACCCACCTTGAGAGCTGCTTCAATGTTGCCCATCTCAGCGTAGCATTCCCCGATCTTGCGATGCGCAACGGCCCGTCCGATCACATCATTCAGCACCTCGGAGAGAGCCAGCTCCTGCTTGTGTTCCTCGATGGCAGCCTCATATTTACCTTAAGGTTCACATGAGCCAAATTAGACTGGCTGCAGAGGCATCTCATTAATAAACAGAAAACATCAATATATGCCCTTTTCCACCAGTAGAGCCAACTGAGCAAACACTGATGCTGAAAAGCAGTACAAGAAATTACGCCAGGTGGAGCCAAAAACATTGCAAAGAAATAAAGTGTTTGGGCTGCTATTAGAGGGAAGAAAGCAGGAAGAAAGTTAAATCATATTTGAAAAACAGTATTCTACAGAGCAGGTTATTAAAGGAATAGTACACCCAAAACATGATTAGCCTTCATTTTCTACTCACCCCCATGCTGAACAACACTCTGGAGTACTTTTTTGATATCTCAAATGCATCTGGAGATCTGGGAGGCTTCTTGCTGTCTGCGGACATTCAAATAATGGAGGTCTATGGCGCCCGAGGCAGAAAGGTCCATAAAAGTCCACAAAAAACGTGTCAATATTCCTCCATACTGCTCGTCCAATGTATTCCAAGTGTCCTGAGTGGGTAGCGTCCATAATTTACTCGAAACGAAGTCATTTAGAATGTTTTTAGAGCATAAACAGTAGTGTATAGGATTTCCTAAAAGTGCGTTCACGAGTCAACGGAAACCGCGGCAGACCAAACCAGATGAAAGTGCGCATTCAGCGTCTGCTCTGCCGATAATGCAAGCGTAGAAGAAGAAATGTGCTGTTTACCTGTGCAAAGAAAGAAACAACGAAAGAAAAATGTCTGAGGACTTCAGTGTTGAGGAAGAGCATGAGTTCTTTGCCGAGCTGAATGCGCACTTTCATCTGGTTTGGTCTGCCGTGGTTTCCGTAGCGTCGTGAACGCACTTTCAGGAAATCCTATACACTACTGTTTATGCTCTAAAAACATTCTAAATGACTTCGTTTCGAGTAAATTCTGGACGCTACCCACTCAGGACACTTGGAACACATTGGACGAGCAGTATGGAGGAATATTGACACATTTTTGTGGACTTTTATGGACCTTTCTGTCTCGGACACCGTAGACCTCCATTATTTGAATGTCAGCAGACAGCAAGAAGCCTCCCAGATCTCCAGATGCATTTGAGATATCAAAAAAGTACTCCAGAGTGTTGTTCAGCATGGGGGTGAGTAGAAAATGAAGGCTAATCATGTTTTGGGTGTACTATTCCTTTAATACTCTCTTGAATAAACTGAAAAATGACTTTTCTTTAAAAAAAAAAAGAATCTGACTACAGTTCCACTTTCCACCCTCAATATTAACAGAATCAGCTCAGCTTCACAGAAAACATAACTATAACAAGGGACCCTGGGATAAATTGTTTTGATCAATTAATAGACCTTTTTGGTTTGTAGTTATCACCAATCCACTCTTTTGAAAACCATAGTTGTCACGGGGTTGTCACGATACTAAAAATTTTCAACTCGATACCGATACTCAGGAAAATATTCGATACTTGATACCATTTTCGATACCACAAGGAAAAAAACCTCATAATTCAACAGAAATATTTTTATTAATAAATAAAATACAAAAAATATATACAATAAACAATAAGAACAATATTTTGAGGTAGTCTGCTGTGCACAATATTAAGCAAGTTTGATAAAAAAAAAATAACAAAATGAACTTAAGTGTTCCTTCCTTGGCTATGCTTTACAAACAGAACAATGACACTAGCCAAACCAGTTAAACAAAAATAAATGCTGTATTCTCAGCAGCTGCCTGTTACAAAAAAAAGTCTGAAAATGAAAAGTGCACTGAATTATACAATCAGACAGTGTTAAGAAAGTGCATTTACCTCTATTCTGCACTCTAGATGAAAAACTTTTTAGGAGCCACTGGTGGTAGCACTGCCCTGAAGTTTGAAACAAAAGACACTAACCTGTCGAAATTCAGTGTAAAGGCCAGGGTGTCCAACTCCGCCCACATCAAAGTTGGCCATTTTGATTAGGTCACCAATAGGAAGATTCCATATCTGCTGACCGACGGCATGTGGGAGGAGTTGGATATCCAACCGAGGCGTCATACAGACTGAAGCGAGAGGCTACTTGCTGCTGTGTGTATGTGAGGGCAGAGAGAGAAGGCAGGTCAGCGTCGTGCGCGGCGGCGGTAGTATCGACACTTTTAAAATTGAGTATCGTATCCGGATACAACGTTTTAGTATCGATACTTTTTGTAGTATCAATACTTTTGACAACCCTAGCTGCAACTAAAGTACTGCGCTTTGGATCCATGTATAACATGGATGCATAAACCCCTCACTTTATTTCAGAGTTAAATTCTGTTTAAAGTAACAGATCATTAAAAATGCCTCGGGACCTTTACTGGTTGATACGACGGAGTATTAGGGCCACACATGAAGAGAAAAAATATTTTTGCCATGACGAGATTAAACTCGACATGTCGACTTTAAAGTCGACATGTCGACATTAAACTCAACATTTTGAGAATAAAGTTGAAATGTCATGTTGAGTTTAATCTCTACGTGTCGACTTTAAACTCGCCATTTCGAGAATAAAGTTGATATATCGTGGCGACTTTAATCTCGACATTCCAAAGTTTGGAGAAAAGAGCAACCGCGCTCCACAGCTGCAGTCTGCGTTTTAAGAGTGAAGGTAGTCTTTGACGTGCTGCAACTGTATAGGATTCTGTGCATGTATCCTGTGCAGCGGTTGGCTCTCTTGAACTAATTTAAACTTTATTGTCGACACGTCGAGATTAAACTGAACATGACATTTCAACTTTATTCTCGAAATGGCGAGTTTAAAGTCGACAGGGCGAGATTAAACTCAACATGACATTTTAACTTTATTCTCAAAATGTTGAGTTTAATGTCGACATGTCGACTTTAAAGTCGACATGTCGAGTTTAATCTCGTCATGGCAAAAATATTTTTCCTCTTCATGTATGGCCCTAATACTCCGTCGTAGGTTGAGGATTTTCTTCATTCGGACCATGCTGGTTTTTAATTGGTTACTACCCCTGATATAGGTCATCAAATCAGTGACAGTTCAGTCTGTCCACCTGTAGTGTTTTTAAATGTCCAGCAGGTGTCAGTATTCAGTGACACATATCAATCGAAACGCTTCATGAACCCATCACTATCTAATGTCGCCTCTATCCCAGGAGTGGTTTAACTGAACAGTTCTGGACATTTTTCAGTCACACTTTTTCCTTCCGCCAAGTTTTCCAGTAATATGCTTGGATAAAGTCCCGTGAGCTTTCCTATTGATCTCCTTCCTTATGAAGGATTTACAGAAACTGTTTGCTAAATACTGCTCCATACTTTTGCAAATACAACATAGTATTTCAGTATTAAATCAACCGATTACGACTTTGTTTACTGTAATGTATGTAAAATGTAAAGTTAAAGAAGTCCTACCGTTCCTGGAGAGCAGCTCTCCCAACTGGTTGCAGATATTAGCCTCTTCCTTAAAGTTGTTGTTAGCCTGAGCTTTACTTTTAGCTTTTTGCAGCTCTGAGACAAAACAAACATAGCGGATGGGTTAGCTCCATTCTTCTAACAGCAGAAAAACATGGAAGTTAAGAGATACTTACGCTTGATTTCCCGTGAGGAGCTCATTGTTGGTCAGCTAGCAAAGGGAATGACAGCAGCGGCTAAACCTCGGCGCTAACTTCTCACAGTATAAACCCAAACAGCTTTACATTACTTTATTTGGAGCATATCTGCGTGTTCATCGATATTCAGCAGCGAGCTGGACGTCTGATCAAAGGAAACAACTTTGCCTTTTCATCATATTAGCAAACATCGCGGACGATCAGCCTAAAATGAAGCAGAAACTTTTTCACATTTCCGCGCCAGGAAGGTAAGGATGGTTTTATCGCCCGGTGTGTTGACTGCCAGGCACAGCCTCTTTCCCGGAAACTTTTTTTTTTTCTGAAAAAGGTAAACAGTTACGTTTTCAGGTGGTCCTTGTACCATAAAGGTTAATGTAGACATATCCCTTGCAATGTAGCGTAAAAACTAAAATATATTATTAAAGACGTTTGTTTGCGTACAGAACAAGTGAGTCTGACAGTCAATATTTAGGGTAAAAATTGACATAATATTCGACACTTTTTCTACAACTTTATTTACAAAGACAAAGTTACACAAAACATAAAACAGTGACAGGAATAAAGAACATGACAGAGGGATTGAAAATCACATGTGCAGATTATCCTAATCTGGTACAGATGAACGAACTGCCTAATATAAAATAGTACTTATTTAAAATTAAATTATAGTTAAGTTTAAATAATTACATTACATTTAATTAATCTCAAACAGAATAAAAGCTTTATTTCTGTTTAATCATTTTATTCTATAACTATTAGATATTAAATCAGAATCAGACATACTTTAATAATTCCAGAGGGAAATTACTTTTTTTTAAATTTCCCTCTGGGATTATTAAAGTATGTCTGATTCTGATGTATTCAGAATATATATTAAAATGCCAAAAGTAAAAACACAAATTTTTTTAGAAATATATATTTCTATAAACAAATATACCATATCATTGTCTGACCTGCTTTGAAAGGAAATGTGAGACACACACACACACACACACACACACACACACACACATACACACACACACAAAAACACAATCAAATTCAGATATCACTCATATAAAAATTAATTTAAGACATTATCTAATTAATTTTAGCAATTTAAACATTAATTATTCTATTCCAACCAGTATTAGCTGTATAGTCTAATTTAACCACAGCGACTTCTTGTGGACAGTTTAAAAAAATTCCAGGATATGTATAAAAGAGGTATGTGTGGTCTTTCGTTGGTCTAGGAGTATTTTATGGGGTCTAATGAGGTAAAAGAGAGGATAAGAAGACAAACGGTGTTATATAATCTGAATGATTATTGGTGTAGTTGATCGTTTTAACCCTGTAAAGATCAACTTGTTTTTGTTCTTTTAAAGTTGAAAAATGATCAAATATTTTTTCTAAATTTTTCACAAGCAAGCATTTTCCTCAGACACAATTTCAATGTAATTTGTTCAGATCCTCAATTGCTCACCAATGTTATCCCAATGCAATTATGAGGCAAATAAATCCCATTTCAAATCAGAAAAAGCTCAGTTCGAAGGAAAAAATAACAACTTCCTCACTTTCTTCAAGTGTTTAACACCATCCTTCTCAAAAAATGAGACAATATTCGGGTCTCTTATTGCCCCAAGAGGAACTACAATCTAACTAGTTGTCAGGATCTTATTGTGGTTTAAAGCAAAGTTCTGCCACATCAACAGCTGTATTCAGGAGATTTAGAGAAAGTCAAAATGTTTGATAAGAGCAACCATAGAGCACCAACAGGCAGACACCTGGACAACTGTTGTATCTGTTATTGTCCAATGAGTCAGTGGAGAGTGGGCGTCCCCACAGCAATGGTTAGTTTTAAGAAAAACATAGCTATTATAATAAATTATTAAAATGTTATTTTGTGAATCCCTGACATACAATGAGAGAAAAATAGAACATTATAATTAACATT